GGCAATAAATTGATTTACATGAAATAAATAGTGATATTCACTTAAATTATCATTGCGCACCAATTACCGCGCTGATTCCTATTAGCCTATACTTTCTAAATTGTTTGAATTTCTGGGAATCTTTTGTCTTATTAACATAATTTTTTAAACTATTATAGTTTCTTTTTTAAAACAATCTTTAAATAACGTTTGTGTGCAGTTAGTCAAAGAAGTATCTCCAACCTGTCATTAAGTTATACATGAAAAGTTACATTTTCAACATTTTTTTCTTTCTTATTTCAACGGTGACTATCCTAGAATTTTGCACGTCGAAGTTCGGAACTTCAACTTCATTAAATAAAAAAATTGAACATTTCTTAACTCGATTTACTAAAGAACCACCTTAAATGTCCAAAAATTGTTTTATGTAATTTAAAATCCAAAAAGCAATCTACGTTTTTAAATAAAAATAATTTTTTTATTTTTACTATTTTTAAGTGCACTCTGTCTCTTAATCTAAATATATTAAAATTAAAAGAAAATGTACAATATTTTTAATGTAATTGTATTATCACTAAAATGATTTTGTTTTAAAAAATGATAAAATAAAATAGAATAAATTAATATATAAATTTCTCTTTTTCCTTCTTTTTTTCCTTCTTTCAAATCCAGCAAATTCTATATTTTTTTCATCAACAACACGGAAGTACCAACCTGAACGGCTTCTCTCCGGAATGAGTGCGTAAGTGAGTTTTGAGAGTACTAGGTCTAGCATATGATTTGCCACATATTCTGCACAAGTTGGGTCTGCCATTATCTTCGAGGGTGATGCCACCCACGGCTGGACTCGTGGTATTTACACAGATTGAGTGTTCATCCCCGAGCTGCAGTCGGCCACCACTGTGATGTGATTGGGGGTGGGAATGGGGATGACCGATCAGACCGCTATTGGATGGCGTGCCTTGATTCACCCTCGCGGTCGTTTGCGCTGCCACCTCCACCGGATTGCCATACTGAGGGGCGGGACTTAGGAGAGGTTCCACGCCCCAAGCTGACGAATAACTTTGTTCGTATCTAGAAACACACACAAAGATAAAGTTCATACAGACATATAATAGAAAGGTAGAGATAAAATCAAATATATCTGCACTTTGTAAAGAAGATGCAGAAAACAAGATAGCGATTATTGTTGGAAGATAAATTATCTCTCTTATAAAAGTAATAAATCTCTCTTATAAATGATGATTGAGATGTAGTTTCTTAGATAATATTATAATGCAAGGATGAAAATTCTGAGACGAGTAATTTTTTCTAATTATTTTTAAAGATACTTTTAACAATAAAATATCTGATGTAATTGTATTATAAAATTAGTAATAATAATTAGAATAACAATCATAAGTGCGAATTTTTTGGACTATTTTTTGATACAAAAAATATTAAATAATAATATAAAAATGTTAAACATATAATTCAATATAATTTTGTATATAAAAATATTGAATATTAAAGAAAGAAAATGAAGAATCCTTACCCAGAATGCATATTCATGTTCATGGTCATGTTCATCGACACATTGACGGACATAGCGGCGGATGCAGAACCGTAGTGACCCGGACCTGGGACCGACGGGCCCAGATTTTGCATATAGTCCTGCGAATAATGATGAGCCGCAGTGGAGCCGGCGCCAGTGGTATAATAGCCAGTTGTCGGACTTCCAGGATGCACCACCGCATGTTTCAGGGATAAAAGAACATCGGCAACGCCCTCGCCGTTTGCACCATTGTTCGACCTTGGCATGCATTCGCTGCGTGAACAACCCCAACTGGAAAAAGCCTTGAATTTTACAGATTTCGTCGAAATTGTTAAATTTGTAAACAAATAAAAGCATAATTGTGAAAGAGAGAAAAATAAAACTGTGTGTGTATTTAGCTATAATATACAATATATTTTTTAAATTATTTTTAATTAAAATTAGAAAAATTTACACATATTAATTAAATAGAATAAAATATAAATTTACAGAATAGAATTAAATATCACTTCAATATTAAGTTTAGTATTCAAAGAATAAAAAAGACAAAAACTATGGAAAGAAGAAAAGAAAAGAAAAGAAAAAGGATAAATTTAATTGACAACTAACTTGTACGTTCCTGAGCATGGACTGAACAATCCTGGTGGCAAAGGATCTAGGTCCAACGGAGGTAGAGGAAAACCTGCCATATCGTCGATCCAAAAGTTACCGCCAAATTCACTTACGGCCTGACCAGAAGTTGGAAGTTGCTGATTCTGGTCAGTACCGATATCAGACGGTGAATTCTGCAGATCCTGTAAGCGTAGTGTGCCCTGCAGAGCAGCACCGAGGACGGCTGCCTCTTCGTTCTGATTGTCGGTTGATAGAGTGTCGTCACCCGAAAGCACCCCTAATGATCCAGAACAGAGGCTAGATGAAATAGTTGCCTCGATGCTCTCCACAGAACCTAAAGATTCAGGAAATATTAAATTATCAAAGACAGTGATTTTTACTGATTTAAGGCATTTGAAGCATTAGAGAAAATCATTTCAAGAAAAAACATTTTAATGAAATTTTTAAATTGTATACGTAAATTTATTAAATTCGAAATATATTATATAATATTGCTTTTGTAATATAATTTTATATATTAATAAAAAATGTTGTTATAATAACATGAATAATATATAAATATAATGTGTATTGTGTATAAAATGTATAACAATAAAATTATACACTATAAACGTACATTGTAATGAATAAATATAAAAATATGTTAAAATTAAGAAAATTTTGATGCTCTCTTATAATATATTATTTTTTTATCTCGATAGAAATGCGTTAGGCAAATTTCATGCTATGTGATAAGGCTTATAAATAAAAGATTAATCAAAATCAATTTGAATAATTTGACATTGATATAGCTATCCTATATGTCAGCATTCTGCATGATACTTTCTTAATATAAACATTGTTAATAAAGTAAAACCTGTTATTGTGTCGTCATGAAAAGGAATGATAATACTATACGAAATATTCTCTATCGAGGCTCTCTAACTTTTCACAAATTTTCTATAGTTCAAAAAATTATAAATATTTTGCAGAAATTGTCACATACTTTTGTAGAAATCACTTTAACGTGTTAATACTTAATTATTGAAAAACATTTATTTTATGAGAACCCAGAATAGATTGTTCTTATAAGATTGAATTGAACTGAAGTTTTATATTCTGACAGTGATTCAATAAATAGATTAGCCATTATTGTTCACAATTTTAAAACTATTTTTGGGTCATCGATTGAGAAATGTTATAATTATATTCATGAAATTTTGCACTGTGGAACTATCACACGCGTTTTCGTCTTTGCGACTGCTTTGTGGTTATCTTTGTAATCGTCGTCATGAGGTACAGAGAATTTTAGATCTCACCTGCACCAAGAGTATATGGCGGCTCGGAGGTGTTAACTGCGTGATGATTCTGCAGAAACTCCATCTCTGCGAAATTCTCAACAGTGGCCTATCCCCCGGATGCACACCACTGCGCTCACCCACTCCTCCTCTTCGCAACCCTCGTCTTCTCTCCCTATGGAAACGCGCTAGTGCTGGTCCAGCCCTCTCCGGTCGTCCCGGTAACGGCGCACAGCTTCATCGCAAGCCGCCGCTCGCCATCGACGCTGTTTTTTATGATATAAAGTAGATGTGTAAGTGGTTAAATATTTTAATTGTTTTGTTACGAAAATCAATTTTATTAAGCATATTATAAAATAAATATATTCACAGATCGATACAATCGAAATTATGAATTTTCTACACAAAAATAAGATATTTTCAAGTTAAAATTGACTTTTTTGTTTAATAAAAATATTTATTTTGTCATTGCAAAATTATTAAAAGAATTCCGTCGGATGATTAAATTTATGGAAAAATTAGAGAAAAATGTGCAAGTTTTACGAGAAAGTAAACTCGAGATGCAACAAAACTTGTCTAACCTTTGTTTTGAAAATGTTAAGATAGATTAAATAAATTTATTTGTAGAAAGGAAAAAATGTTTTGTACTTCCGTTTATAAGCTATAGAACAAAAATAGCTGCGTTATTTGCAAATAATTTTTTACGGTTAGATGCTTGAACAAGCTTAATAATTTTATGATGGTCCTTAAGGATAAAAGTGATTATATGTCTTCTAAGAACTGCAACGTGGTTTATAAAGTTCATTGCAAGGATTACAATGCTTCTTATGTAGGCAAAACAAGAGGTAATTCAGAACTAAAATTAAGGTGTATGTAAATAACATCAGAATGGACTCATCGAGACACTCAGTAATTACGAATCATCATATCGTAAAATTTGATCATTCCTTTGAATGGAATAAGATTAAGATTCTTGATTTCAAGCCGAATTACAACAAAAGATTCACCTCTGAAATATTGCATATTAAAGAGCATAACGGAATCAACTCCCAAAAGAATATCTTGATGATTCTTATTATTGTTTACTAGATGTACCTTCCAACAAGTTTTAAAGTTTGACTTCTTTTGTGTTTGTTAACAAAACGATGGACACATTTTTATTTATCTTGACATTTGTTCTCATTTGACCATTATTATCTGTAAGAGCACGAAACATTTTATTGTATCAGATATATTTCTTTACGTTAATTTCATAATAAAATTTAAAGTAAATTTTCAAGATTTTATTTATTTTTCGTTACGCTATAACTATTTACTTTTAATACATAATTTAGTCCATTCGATTTTTAATTTATAATTCCTTCTGGATTTTATTATATATGTGGACATTATGGACGTACAAAGATTTTACGCTCAACAATTTGACCATTTTTATTTTGTTGATTCCACTCTTCTTCGCTTGCGAACGACGAACAGTTTTGTTTTATATCTTTCATGTAACATAAGCATTAGTTGTTGTAATTTTTTATGTAAATACAATAATTTTTATGTCTTAACTGTTAAATGTGTTCTTGTTTTATTCATATTTGTTCTGGGATCTTCTTAATTTATTAACTTTTTACTTGTATGATCAAGGATGACTAAGTTAAGTTCGAAACGTTTCATTAAAATTAATGTGTTTTGAAGATTAATGTGATTAATTATTATGAATAAATTAAAATTTTATTCATTTAATTGACTTAGTCATTAGTTTATTATTCTTATTGCTTGCAAAATATGAGCAACTATTTTTTATCATTAGTATTTGTATAAAATTGAAACGTTCGCTATTTTCTTTTATGGTAAAAAAGTGAATAACCGACTAGAAGACATACGAATTTTTTCTTGATTGAAATATTAATGAAATATATTTTCAATGTTAATTTTGTCATAGTTTTTCTCACTTTTCTCATAATAAAGAAAGTATCATGAATTTAACAGTCAAGATTATATATCTTCTAAAAAGGAATAATTTAAAAGAAAAAATATCGTTTTCTTGTTTCAATGTTTTGTTTATTTTAATTTTTAAGAAGAAAACTCCCTTTTTAGACTATAACATGTCAATTTTTTAACTTTTCTCTTAATATTATTAATTTCTTCAATAAAAAGTAAGTAAAGAAAATTAGATTATTCTGTTTTAGTATTGATCGAAAATATATATGTATTCATGATTGATATATTTTTGTGTTCTATTTTCCATGAGAAAAATTTACATTTCTATATAAGATATTTCTTTTTGATTTTTTGAATACTTTATTTGATCAAATTACACTTTTTTAATATTATATATAATATTTTATATAAGTAAAAAATCAAATACAACAGTTATATTTGATAAAAATATATATTTTTAATAATAAATATATTGCTATTTGCTGGACCGGAATGTGACTGCAAAGATCGACTGGATAAATCAATGAATGACTTTTATGAATGACCGAATGTGCGTGTGGAAGAAGGAAAATGCACGTGCATACGGCTCACCACGCGCATATAGACGTACCTTTATGGCTTGGAAGACCTGCCAGTCCCTGTTAGAGGCTTCTGTAGAAAACCTGTCGGATATTCCCATTCACAGATCCGTGATGTCTGCATCTTCTTATATGATATTTACACTCGGTAGCCTTTGCCAAGGATTTTTATATTTTTATAGCTAATAATGCAATCTTTTCTTTGTTAAATTATTTTTGTTTTTACCTTTAATATATTATATAATTGTTCTTTTAAAATTGAATAACGAATCATATCACTTCGATTGATTACAATATATTAACACTGAATAAGAGAAAAAGTTCTTACATCAATCAAAGTTTTCAGTCCACATTATATCTCGATAATTTTATCGATCAAATTTTTATTATTTATTTTTTATTATTTTGTAACATTTTAATTTTTTACATATTTTATGTCTGTTATATTACTACATATTTCATTTTTTTTATTTTAGTATATATTTTACGGTCCAAACCATAAATAAAGCACTTTCAATTGATTGCATTTTCTTAAGAAAAGCGATAAGTCAAAGAAAAACTAATAAATTATTAAAATTATTAAAAAAATAAATATTATTTTTTAATAAAATTGATTTTTAATTTATTTCTCGTTAGACAGAGGACGTTTACGTTAATTTGTGGAGGTGCTTTATATTTATGGCCAAAATTTAATATCATTCGATGTTTTTTAACTAAAAATCTTTTACTGTAAAAATTTTCTCTTTATGCAAATATTTTCATATTCTTACAACATTCTCTTGCGAAAGTTAAAATCTAGAACTAGAAACTGAAAAACACATATACATATTTTAGATCATACTTTAATTTTAATTAAGCTAAATTACATTTCATATATTACTGTGATTTGCGTTATTTATACGTGATGATTTATTACTCGTTTACCTTATAAAATTAAATTCTTCTTGCATTTTTCTGATCACACATCTTCAATCTGATCTTGGATATAATCTTGAATTTTTGGCGATATTAACTCACTTCACTATTCCAATTATTTTTAAACTATAATTGTTTTTCAACGAACTAAATTATTAAATTATTTTCAAGAAAAGTTTATTTGACTAAATTATTTGATAACAGCTAATAAAGATTCAGATTTTGCAGAAAATTTTCCACTTTAAATTGTTAAAAAAATTCTTTTGGTTAAATTAATTTTAAGCAATTAAACTTCAATGCAACTTTTAAGCGCGAACTCTCGGAGACACTGCCATGCTGGCGAGATGGCATGTCAATGTCTCTTGGCTAACTAGCGATCTACCACCTACCTACCACCCACTCTCTCACCCCTTAAAGCGGCTCACTGACTACGTTCGTACCATCCAACCCCACTCCACTGCGTTCTATCCCTTTTTTCCCCTCCTTCTGTTTTTATCTTGGTCTCTCTTTCTCCACTTTTTCGTTTCTTCTTTTACTAACTGAAACTGTGTATTACATATCGTTACGTCAGAGCTTATGTACCCCTACTTGCATAAAAGTTATGTGCCAAGTAACAGGATAACATGATATACTTTTTGCTTTAAAACAATTTTATTTCTAAGAAAAAAAGTAAAAAAGAATTTTAAAATAATTATTAGAAATATTATTAAAAATATTATTAAAAATGGAAAGAGGAAGAAAAATATGTCATAAAAGAATACAGGCCCATAAAATATCAAAAATGACAAAATTTCTTTCCTTCTTTCATTTTCCCTTTTTTTATGAGGACGAATCTGCATTGACATATTGTCTTAGTAGTAAAATTAAATTTATCACACTTTCAGCACAAGCCAGCAAATAATATTTTTAATTATATTTAATTAATCTGTCGTTACTATTGAACAACGTACATTATATAATGTTGACAACACAGGATATTAATCGCTCGGCGATCATCGATGATCGGCAATCTTTTTCGCGCTATGGTTACAGATAATATATCTTGGCTGAATGGAAGGGAGGTATTATATTTTCTCTAGATACCATTACCGCGCACCGATCACGGTGGTCCTGCTCTTCGATACCCTTCTCGAGATCATCGGCTTGTAATGCCTTCCTTTTCGTGGATATTGATCAGTCAACGGTGAACTCATCATGGTATGCAGAGACTCTGCGTCACTTTCCTGAAGCATTTGTTACTTTAACAACAATTTATATTATACGAATTTATAGATAATGTAAATTCTCTATTAATTTAGATACAACATAATTAAGATACAATATCCTTTCTAATATATTATTCCATTATTTCGTAATATTATTATTTTATTACTTAATAATTACAATGTATAATAAGATATTTTCCTTTTTTACGATAAAATATGTGCTTCAACAAAGGAAAGATATAATTTTTATAAAATTAATGTAAAAAATTAAAATAAATTCAAATAAATTAAGATGGCATAAATCATTTTAAATTTGTTATAGTAACTTATATTCTCATTATGCGCGCGTTGATTTCTTGATGAACGTTTATTCGATTATTAATTTGGCTATATTCAGGGAAAAAGAACGCATTATCAACGTTATTGCTCATCCTTCTTTTATGTCTAATAAACGATAAAGACACAATAGCACATTCTTCGAACGTAACTCTTATCCACGTAATTCTGCAGTGTACCGAATGGCGAGTATAGACGGAACATTTGATTGCGTAGTTTCGATATGCGGACACAGGAAGAGGAAGTCAACCGCACGAGCACAGCA